CACCCCTCACGCAGATCCGCGGGGTCAGGGTCCAAAAACACATGGGATTTGCCACATTTCTGAAATCCGGTGCCACCCCTCACGCAGATCCGCGGGGTCAGGGTCCAAAAACACAGGGGATTTGCCACATTTCTGAAATTCGGCGCCACCCCTCACGCAGATCCGCGGGGTCAGGGTCCAAAAACACAGGGGATTTGCCACATTTCTGAAATTCGGTGCCACCCTTCACGCACATCCATCGCAAGGCGTGGTAACCCAAACTGCGAGAACTCCCTCGGCCCTTTAATCGCAAGGTGTGGTAACCAAGCCCGTAAACCATACACGTCTTACCAATCGCCAGGTGTGGTAACCCCTCGTGTGATCAGTTGGTTTTGCTGATTGCGAATCGGCTTCGCATGAAGTTTCGATACTGCTTCACGACAGCGCCAAGGCCTCATGACTCAGCTCTTCCATGGCCCATTCTCCCAGAGAGGGGGCCGGCGGCAGGGGGCGAAGCCCTTACGGATAATCTTGGGAACCTTTTGGGCCGTCTTGGACCGTCCAAAAGCCGAAAGGAAGCAAATGCCCAAGTCCTGCAAGGACCTAAAGAAGATAGATTATGTTGGTCTTCGGGCCCTCCTGGAGGATCTCTTGGAGGCCTTTAGGGTTGTCTTGGAGGCCTCTTGGGAGAGTCTGGGGCCGTCTGGAGCCGTCTTGGAGGCTTCGTGTGCGAAGTTTGAGGCATCTTGGACTCTCTTGACCATCTTGGGCGAACTTGGAAGCCATCTTGGCCGCCTGCGTGTGGCATTTTGGAACCACCCGGGGCTGGACGACCTTTGCAAACCACCCCGCCCTGAGCTTCCGGGGCGGCCGGCGCAATAAGCCGAAGCCCAGAGCGAAGTCTTAAATTAACAAGTTTATGTGGCCTCTTAGGCCGTTTTGGGCGACTCTTGGGCCATCTCGGGGCCCTCTTGGGGCGATCTTGGGGGCGTTTCGGGCTGTTTGCGGGCGTCCGGAGGCCGAACAGGCGAGAACGTACAAATCTGGTCTCCTGGGGCTCTCTTGGGAGCCTGTTGGGGCCTCTCGGGGCGCCTTGAAGGCATCTTGGGCCGTCTGGGGGCCATCTTGAGCGTCTTGGGCGATCTTTCGGCGACTCGGGGCGACCCCTGCGGCCGTCTCGTATGCACCTTAGGGCCCTCTGGGCCTGTCTCGGCGCCCTCATGGGCCCGACAAAGTCACGCGGGGAGACGAGGCAAGGCCCGGGGGAAGCGTGCCAAACCCCAGAAGGTTTGAGGATTCGGGGCCCCAGGCCCCTAAGATATCCGCCAGGGCTGAGGACTGAGGCTCAGAGAATTAGGCAAAGGACCTGGCGACACGTCCACTCGGTGCCCAAGGCATGGCAGCGGAAGATAGATGATGCTGTGAGCCACGTGTGAAAATAGTTCAAAGGGCAATGCTGTTATTTGATCATGCGACTCCGCGATTGCGACGCGTCCATTCCGTGCCCAAGGCATGGTGGCGGATGATAGAGTAATGAACCATGTGTGAATCAGGAGGGGAAAAAACACACTGACTGACACAATTATTCGTCGACTTCCAGAAACTATGGGAAAATTTGGGAAGTGGAGGGGAAGACAGAAACCCAGAAAGTATGGGAAAATGTTGGGAATGTTTTTACTTGTGTGTATTAATTTGTGTGTCCCAGGGCTCCTTCAGTGAACACAGTTGAAAGGGCTATGATGCTAATTGGTCATGTGACTCCACTGTTTCATTACTTGCTGAGTAGACTTGTCCTGCCGCGTTGAATTGAAGCTTCAGTGTGCGCGCTGTCGGGATGTCACAAGCAGGCCAAAGGTAAGTTACAGTCAGAACCCAGCCGAAGCGGCCCAGACGGCACCCACGATTGGAAGCGCATCTTGGGGGAGGATGCAAGTCTCTTCGCGCACGCACGCCACGTCGGAGGCCCCCTCGTTGGCTGCTCCTATGTGTCTTGGCGCCATGCGAAAAAGTGACAGGAGCAGAAGGAGGAGGAGGAGGAGGAGGAGGTGGAGGAGGAGGAGGAGGTGGAGGAGACACTGGCACCGATTCGTGGACTTTCCAGCAAGTCGCTGCCGGCGTCACGCCCCTCGTGAATTTTCCTTGCGTGTCGTTGGGTTGCTGTCGGTCGGCGTTTCTCTGCTCAATGGCTGGTCTCTCACCCCTCCTCCTCCTCCCTCCCCGTCCTCGTCCTCCTGCTTCTCCTCCTCCTCCTCCTCCTCCTCCTCCTCCTCCTCCTCCTCCTCCCCCTCCGTCTTTTGACCCCTCTCCCTCGGACCGCGCTGCTACCTCGGCGCCTTCGTCACGGCTTTCCCTCCCTCAATTCGCATCCCTGCGCTCGCATCCTCGTTGCCTGCACTCGCCGTCGCCGCTTCCGAGCGAGGCGATCCACACACACAACTCGGAGTGCTTTGGCTCCCTCCACTCTCTCTCCCGGCCTTCTCATGCTCGACTTCCTCCCCACTGGCGTCCGCGGGGGAGGGAAACGAGGCGCTCCTCCTCAGCGTCGGCCCCTGAGCCCGTCCCGCAGTGCGTCCTGGCCAGACCTTCGAGGCGAACCCAGCCGTCGCGACGAGGGCCCCTCGGGGGTCCGGAGCAGGGCCCGCCGTTTTTAATACATGCTCCGCGTGCGGACCATGTATTTTAAATGCAGGGATTCAGGATAAAAAACAACGAGGAGTTCATGCATACATTTATTCATCAATAAATCGTGTATTCAAATCCTGTATTAAAAAAAATCCTATGTACTAAAACCTGCCCTGTACGCCCGCGCCGAGGCGCGCCGGCGCGCCCCCGCCGCCGTGCGGCGCGGCGGGCGCGGGCTCCCCGCCGCCGCTGCGCGGCACGGCGCGCCGTCCGCAAGAGAGCTGCGGGGGGGGGGGGGGCTGCGCGGGGCTCCCGGCGTCTCCTCCTCTGGCAGGGCCCCGACCGCCCATGGGGCGCCGACAGGGACCCGATAGCCTCAGGTCGGGCGTGTCCCCCTACAGGGGGATCTTCGACGAAAAATTTAAAGTACTCCCAAAATACCCCCAAATGGTCAGAAAATGCTCAAACAATCGTCCCCGGACTATTTTGGGATTATTTTTAGAGTATTTTGTTTTTTTCCGTCGAAGATCCCCCCGTATAGGGGGACAGGCCCGACTTAACGATAGCCCCATCCCGCACATGGAGGTGCGGATTCGCTATCGGGGGCCTGCCGCCGATCTCTATCGGCGATGTATCGCCGATTCCAGGTCGATGTTTCCCCGCTCCTATGCCAGTCCCCCCTCATCGTTGCCCCTCGGAAGGTTCCGTCTGTCCTTCGGAGCTCAAGAGACGGGGGTCAATGCAAACGGGGGTCAGCCAGAGCGCTGGGTCTTACAGGATCCTGCAGGGCCAGGGATGCCTTGACCCGGGCTTGCGTGCAGGATCTTGCGGCATCCTGATCCTGCGAAGCCCGACTGACCCGGGCTTGGATTGACACGGGTCAGTAGATCCCCGACCCTGCAGATGAGATGATGGGCCTGTCTTCCACCACCACCCCCATAAGTTGGAGGGGGGAAGGAGGAGGAGGAGGAGGAGGAGGAGGAGACCTCCTCCCCCTCCAACTTATGGTGGTGGTGGTGGAAAACAAGCCCATCATGCGAGGAGGGCGAGTTGAGGCAGCGGTTGGTTTGCCTTCGGGGGGGCCCCGCGTCGCCACGCCTCGACGCAGCTCGAGAAAAACTGGTGCGCCTGGGCCCCCCGGGGAGGGTCCGGGGACAGATTTGACGCTGCCATTGGCTGAGCTTGCCGTGCTCCGAGGAGGGGGGGCCACGGCGGCTGGAGGGGACCCCCTATGCAGCGGGGCGCGGTGAGTCCGTGGGGCTCCCAGGTGGCCGCACGGCTTCTGGAGCTCGACCCGTTCTCCGAGGATGTCTCGGGCGACGGGGGCCTCCAGGGTCCCAAGACCATGCGCTGACGGACCATGCGGTGAGGTCTTTGGTGACTCTGAGGTCACCGCACGGTCCGCCACCGCACCTCTTGAGGACCCGCAGTGCGACAGGTCCTTCTGTGCGTTGGGCCTCTGGGACCCGGTTGCGGGCCCTAGCGGCTCATTGCAGAAGGGGGCTGGCAGCCCAGCAGGTTTCAGCACGTCTTCCGCGACGCCCATCATGGCTCGAGCCAGGGTAGGTGGGTGGTTTCGTCCATAGCGGTGTTTCGGACTGCAGAGCGCGAGACTTGGTCAGCAGAGGGTACGCTCACCATCGATATCAAGCACACCGTCGACCTCTTCGATGCCTTTTGCTTGTAGACGGTGGGATCATCGATTTCTGGCCCCATCTGGGCCATCGACCCATCCTCCAGATGGGTTCGAGAGGTCCAGGGCCTAGACCATGACGGTGGAGGCTTAGGCTCGCGACATGCAAACTTCGCCATGGTCGTCTCTTCCGGTGAGTGACTGCAGCACGGACGGGCCTTGCCTCTGCCCGCTCCGTTGTCTCCTTGAGTTCGTTGCCTATACAACGTGGGTGACAAGACCGGAGGATAGCAAAACTCCTTATCCTTCGCCAGATGGGTTGTCGTCACGGGGATTTTTCCCTTGGCATCCCTCGGACGTGTGAATGTCTCTCGCCGAGGCCACCTTCTTGGAGCAGTTAAGGCCCCCTTACGGAACAAAAAGCACGCACGAAACCCAACCAATGCACGGGGAATGGACGTCCGAGCGCTAGCAGGTCTTCCAGGGCTGCACCAGGAGCCCCTCCCGCTCGCCCTTCTGGCGCGAGGTCTTGACCGTGCCCCGCAGCTGCCCCAGGGCCTCGGCGCTCGCGACCCGCTCCCTCCATTATGGGGGGCCACCTGCGAGCCCTACCCCTACCCCCCCACGACTTCTGAGGGGGAGGGCAGGGTTCACTTCGCTCGGGGGTAGGGATAGGGCTCGCAGGTGGCCCCCTACGCGACCCGCTCCCTCCATGGCGACCAGCGCCGTTCCCCCCCTCTCCCGGGCCCGCCGCAGCGGCGCGCCAGGCCCGCCCGGGCGCGGCCCCGCCCGCGCCGGACTCCAGCCGCGCTGGGCCGCCCGCGCCCCCGAGGAGCTGCCGCCCTGCGGCGCGGGCCTCGCCTTGGCAGGGGGAAGGGCTCGGCCAGGCGGAGCTCGGCCAGGCGGAGCTCGGGAAGAGGAGAATGAGAAGGAGGGGAAGGAGAAGGGGGAGAAGGAGAAGGAGAAGGAAAAGGAGAAGAGGGACGGGAGGAGGAGAAGGAGAATAAGAAGGATAAGGATAACTCTAAGGAGAGGAGAGGAAGAATAATACACATAATGATGAGAAGGAGACGAAGAAGACGAGCAATAATCTGAAGAAGAAGAATAGTGGATGGGGAGAGAACGAAAGAGAAGGTGAAGCGGGGGAAAAGAGAGAGAGAGGCAGAGAGAGCGCCCCAGCGACGACGAAGAGACGGGACGAGGCGACGACGATTGGCGTGCCCGCTGCTGCCGCCCGGCTCGAGCACGCGCGCGGCGTCGAGTTCAGCCTGGCCGAGGGGGCAGCCGTCCGACTTCCGGCTGGTCGAGCGCCGCTGGCCGATTACAGCCTGGCCGAGTTCAGGTACTGCCCGGGGGTGAGGGGCGGTCGAGCGAGGTTCGCACCTGCACCTCTGGTCGAGCTGAAGGAGAGTGCGCTCCAGAAAGCGCCTCGAGGAGAGTCGCACCTGCACCTGGCCGAGCTGAAGGCGAAGGCACTCCAGCGAGGGCCTCGGCGTTGTGTGGTGGTCGAAGGAAAACAGCGTGGCCTAAGCATAGGCTGTCGAAGGTCCGCGCAGATGTCTTGGACCTGCGCTAGTCGCCCCTGGCGGCGCCTGCGGCGCGGACCCCTGGCGCGCTCCGCGCGTTAGGGAAGGGTTTGCGCGCCGATCCCACACAATCGCGTGTGATTACCACTTTTGTTCGGATGATTATTGCGGAGGCGTTACGGCCGGTGCCGCCGACCCTGAGAACGACGAAGATGAAAACCGGGGGGGGGGGGGCAGGGGGAGGAGGATGAGTGGGAGGTTGAGGAAGGGTGGAGGAGGCGGAGGAGGGATGAGGAGGGGAGAGAAGGATGTGGAGGAGAAGCAAGAGGAGGAGAAGGAGGCAGAGAAGAGCAGGAGGAGGGGGAGCAGAGGGGGGTGGAGGAGGAGGAGGAAGAAGAGGAGGAGAAGGAAGAGGAGGAGGCCAGAGGCTTTCTTGGGCCGTCCAGGGCTCCTCTTGCGCCGTCTCGAGGCACTCTTGGAGGCCTCCTGGGCAAGTTGGGGCTCTCCTGGGCTGTCTTGGGGCAGTTTGGGGGCCCCTTGGAAGCCTCTTGGGGCCTCTTGGGGCTTCTTCGGGGCCTCTTCGGGGCCTCTTGGGGTTGAGAGCTCGAAATGTCCGTTCGGGTCCCCCGTCTGGGCACTCTCCTGGAGCCGTCTCGGGGGCCTCTTGGGCCGTCGTGGAGGCGTCTTGGGCCGTCTTGGGGCCCTCTTCGGCCGTTAGGGGACCCTCTTGGGAGCCTCTTGGGCCGTCTCGGGGCGATCTTGGGGGCCTCTTGGGCCGCCTTGGCGCGTCGGAAAGCGGAAGGGGCAAGCACGCCAAAATCTGTCAAAAACGTAGGGGGAATCCATGAATTTTGCCTCTTGGGGCTCTCGTGGGAAAGCTCCTGGAGGCCTCTTGGGGCGCTTTGCAGGCCTCTGGGGCCGTCTGGAGGCCGTCAAGGCGTCTTGGACAAATCGTTCGGCGATTCGGGGTTCTCTTGGACTGTCGTTGGGGTCTCTTGGGGCTCTCTTGGCCCGTCTTGGGGCTTCTTTGGGCTCCGGGACTCCCAGGGAGGGCGTCGCATCTGACCCCCCCCCCCCCCTCCCGGGACCCCCCCCCGACCCCCCCCCCTTCCGGCGGGGGAGGGATCGAAGAGAAGGGGCGTCCCTTCGACTCAATAACGACGTTGCTCAACTTCGCTTTGGCTGGCGCGCTGAGGAGGTCCCTGGGAAATGGGGGAGCTTCGACGAGCCCAGGGAAATGGGGAAGGCAGGGAAAGGGGACGACAGAGACGACGTTCCTTTTTCCTCTTCTTCTTATTTCCCCACATGCTTCGTGGGGTTATGGTTTTCTTCCCTGCCGCGCCGCAGCCGCGTCTCCCAACACCTCCCCTCCTCTCTCTTTCTTCCTCCCCTCACTCAGACACACACACACACTTCACTCTTCCCCCCCTCGTCACAGCACTGCTCAGCTCAGCTCAACTCAGCTCAGCACAGCACAGCACAGCTCAGCTCAGCTCAGCACATCACAGCTCGGCTCAGCTCGGCACAGCTCAGCACAGCCCAGCACGGCTCAGCTCAGCACAGCACAGCACAGCTCGTGGCACTTTCTCGACACCACAGGGGGTGCGCAGGGGGTGGTCTCTCAGCTCGGCCGCTATCCACGACACTGGCGCAAAGCCTAGCAGGCGTGGCACTTTCTCGACACCACAGGGGGTGCGCAGGGGGTGGTCTCTCAGCTCGGCCGCTATCCACGACACTGGCGCAAAGGCCTAGCAGGCGTGGCACTTTCTCGACACCACAGGGGGTGCGGAGGGGGTGGTCTCTCAGCTCGGCCGCTATCCACGACACTGGCGCAAAGCCTAGCAAGCGTGGCACTTTCTCGACACCACAGGGGGTGCGCAGGGGGTGGTCTCTCAGCTCGGTCGCTATCCACGACACTGTCGCAAAGCCTAGTAGGCGTGGCACTTTCTCGACACCACAGGGGGTGCGCAGGGGGTGGTCTCTCAGCTCGGCCGCTATCCACGACACTGGCGCAAAGCCTAGCAGGCGTGGCACTTTCTCGACACCACAGGGGGTGCGCAGGGGGTGGTCTATCAGCTCGGGCGCTATCCACGACACTGGCGCAAACCTAACAAGCGTGGCACTTTCTCGACACCACAGGGGGTGCCTAGCAGGCGTGGCACTTTCTCGACACCACACGGGGTGCGCAGGGGGTGGTCTCTCAGCTCGGCCGCTATCCACGACACTGGCGCAAACCTAGCAAGCGTGGCACTTTCTCGACACCACAGGGAGTACGCTGTGCCGATGGATATATCGCCGGACCATGGTCGACTCTCGCGCCATGGGCGTGCCGCTGGCCTTCCTGCAGTCAAAGGACGATGGCGTCTCCTGCGGCACACCACAGGAAACAGTGGAGGCTTGCAAAAGGCTGCTGAACGTGCCGAACCCTTGCGAGACGGGGCACATGCACGGAGTTCTTCCAGCGCGCGTGGGCATGGAGGTGAGATTCACCGTCAAGGTGTCCAAGCGCAAGAGCTTGGTCCAGGAGCAGAAGGCCACCATAGTGAGCTTCGTGTTCGAGAGCAGCGACCAGGTTAGGTACGACGCGTGCGCGCCAGGGGAGATCTTCCGCCCGCGCTTTCTGCTTGCCGGAATCTGGATGCAGGTGCACAAGTTTGAGAAGCCCAGCCCGGACGTGGTCGCCGCCCTCACCAACTCTTTCGGAACCGACAAAGAGAAGGCGAACGGCCTGTTCTGCTTCCCGCTCATGGAGGCGAACTTCAAGTGGACAAGCGCCAACAAAACGCACCGGGTCAAAAGGTATGGGTACGGGCTCACGCACGGGCGCTTCCTGACATCCACCGCGTCACAGGGCCAGACGATCCGCACGGGGGTGACCATCGATTGCGCGCAGGACAAGAGCATCGGCAGACCGGAGGAACGAGAGGAGACCTGGTGGCTGCACCTGTACGTGATGCTCAGCAGAGCCACTTGCCTGGAAGACATGCTCTTGCTTCGGCCACCGCCACGGGAGGTCTTGCAGAAGGGCCCACCTCCGTCCGTGCTCAAAGCCCTCCAAAGGTTTGATAAGCGCATGGCTACGCAGACGCGGGAGATCGAGGCCCTCGCTCTGGAACGCCAATGGATCTTGCCGGCGGCGTGAGGTCGTTTGAGTGCACGGGCGCCGGAGTCTTTCCGACAAAGGCAGCGCTGTCCAGCCGCGTAAAATTCGCGCGGCCTGCGCCGCTGCTTGACGTTTTCTGATCGCCCGCCCATCTGTTGTCCACGTGCCAACCGCAGCCCCGAGATTTTTCATCGAAGGTCACTCGCAGATTGCACGCAGGTGGGCTAGTCTGGTTTGCAACTCCTTTGCGCGCGCGGCTCAGAGACTCTCCGTCGAAGAGACGCGGGGACACGTGGAGACTGCATGAGACAAAGCTAAGAAAAGTACGCCCGCCCAGGTGAGAAGGGGAGGCAGGGGTGCGGGATAATGCAACATGAACGGAGGGAGAAAGGATCGCTCTAGAGGCTCCCTAGAGCGAGGGCGCAAGGGGTTTGATTGGCGCTGGCTTCCACAGTGGGCTCCCTGACGAGGCGCGATGTGGCAGATCGTCTTGCATTACCTCATTGCTTTTTGCCGCCCCAAGAAACGGCCCTCGGTGACCGCCTCGAACCTGTCCTCGATGGAGGATAGAAGGCTGGAAAGAGGGAGGAGGGTCAAGCAATTTGGCGCTGGATGACACATAGGGAACATTCGCGACGAGGGCTCAGAACGCAGGATTGCGCATATATATATATGTATATATATGTATATATATATACTGTACATAAGCAAACACATAATATTTAAATTAAGTATGTGGGGTTCCTCGGTAGCGTAATTTTGGCCCCTCCTCTCCGGCGCAAAGTGGCGGAAGGCCCGGCGGAGGCAACAGCGAGGGCAGCCCCGCCGGCGGAAGCTGGCAGAAGAAAAACATTTCCCCAGAAATGTTCGCGCGTGCGTTCTGGCCCCAGGGCTTCCGAAGCGAGATAACAGGGTGCGCATCCGGAAGGGGTGGGAGGACGGGGGGGGCCTGACACTTTAGCCTTGGCCTCCAGGGGCTCGTCTAAACAGAAGGTGTGCGGATGGGTAAATACTGCGGGGGGGGGGGGGGGGGGGGGGCAGGAAAACGCGGGGCGGGGGGAACTTGCAGAGGGAAGGTGGGCGAGGCAGAGGGCGGGGAGCAGACGAAGAGGACGGAGAGGGGAAGGGGGGGGGAGGGGGAGGGGAAGGGGAAGGGGAAAGGAAAGGAGGAGAGGAGGGGAGGGGGAGGGGGAGGGGGAGGGGAGGGGGAAGGGAAAAGAGGATAGGATGGGGAGGGGGAGGAAGGAAGGGAGGCGACAGAGGGGCGTCCCTCTCAGGACCCCCCCCCTGGATGATGTGGTGCCCCACTGGCATGGGCCCCGCCGGGACGAGAAGGTCGCACGGTTGCACGCGCTGGTGTGAGGCACGGTCCCGTGAAACCGCTGTGCCGTACTGCGCTTTGGAGCCCCTCCAGAGGCAAGGGGCTGCCGTGGTCCTCCTGCGATGTCCCATCTGCCGAAGAGACTCTCGATGACGAGGACGGCCGCGGCGACGGCAGCGAGGGCGCGGGCGGCACTAGAGGAGCAGCGAGGAGGTAGCAGAGAGCAGGAGGAAGGAGCAGGGAGGACGAGGAGGGAGGAGGAGGACGAGGAGGGAGGAAAGAGGAGGAGAAGGAGGAGGAGGAGGAGGAGGGAGAAGGTAGGAGAAGGACGAGGAAGAGGAGAGGGGTTTTCCTTTCCAGAAGGAAGAAACGTCCCTCCCTTCTCCCCCCTTCCCCCCCCGCTTTGTCACTTCATTCCCATACATACTTGCTCCTGGCAGGGAGCAGATGGATGTGAAGGGAGGAGGAGGGAAAGGGGATGAGAGGGGCTAAGCTAGATGCGCTCGCGCCATATCTTACATGATACCCTTCCCGCTGCCGCGTATCGCAGCCGACCTGGAACTCCCCGAACGACCCCATCGTGTTATGCGCTGTCGGAAAGGGGGAGCTGAGCATGATGAACAGGACGAGGAGGCTGAGGAGGGCGAGGACGAACAGCAGCAGCGGGAACTGGAGCGGAAGGAGAGGGAGGAGCAGCAGGACCAGGGGAAGCCGGAGGAGGCGAAAGGAGGGAGGGCGACGACGATGAGGAAGGACCGGGATCCAGAACATAAATCCCACGCTGGGGCAAGAGCGCCATTTCCGATCGACAGGAGCAACGCGCCAGTCCAGCGGCTGGGGCTTCGAGGCCCCCCGAGATCCGACGCTGCCCCTCAAAATGCGACATCGCAGACAATCACGAACCGTCAATTGAGCCGGATTTCAAGCAGGATCGTTTGAACCAGACCCCGCGGCCCAAATTTGAGCGACAACGCCCCATGGCGAAGAGCCTGCAACGCCAGGATCTCGGGGTCACCAGGCATCCCCGTCACCGCACGGTCTTTGGTCCGCGGGCGACTCTTGTGTGCACCGCGCCGCGCTGGCGCCTCCTGAAGCGCCGTCGCTCCTCGGCCACGGAACGGTGCAGCGCACAGTCACCAGTCCCTCGGAGCTGGGCAAGAAGTACGGGGCCGAAAGGCATACACCACCACCACCTCCCTCATCCCCTCCGTCTCCCAGGAAAGAGGCGAGGAAGGTGATGGTGGAGGAGGGGCTGAGAACGGAGGTGGCATGGTGTATGTCTGTGGGGGCCCGCAGGAAAGTGCACCGTACACTGCGTTGGAGCGGGGCCCGACGGGAATCCGGACACGGTGCGGTGCACTGCCCGGCCCTCATACCTGGGGCCCCCGCCTGGCCCTTCCCCCCCCCCCTGCCTGTCTGTGCCGGCGCCCCGCGTCGCGAGCCCAGGAGCCCCTCGCGTCCCGGTGCGCCGCCGCCGCCTCTCGGCAGGGCCCGCCCAGGCAGCCCCTCGGGGGTGGCCACGCGGAGCCGCTCCAGAAGGGAAGACGTCGACGACGACGGCGACGGCGACGACGACGGCGACGGCGAGGACAATGACGTCCCAGTTGCATCCCGCGGGAGAGGCGGCCCAAACACCGGGCAGTCTGAGGGGAGAAAGGTGTGTGGGGTCGGGAACTTTGGCTTAGTGCTTCGCTGCGCCAGTTGCGAATCGAAGTTGCTAACTTCTTATGCTGAGTAGCAAGGATTCCTGGGAATTCACATGGAGTTCTTAAGGAACCCCATGGATTTCAACAGGAATCCTTCGCATTTGATGAAGGGTTTTGTAGATTTCCTGAGGATCCCGATGGATTTCCGAAGGAGTCCCATGGATTTCATGAGGAATCCTTCGGGTTGAATCGGGAGTTCTGTAGATTTCCAAAGGCTTCCGCTGGATTCCCTAAGGAATCCCATGGATTTCCTAAGGGATCCGATGGATGGATAAGGATCCCTTTGGATTTCATTTGAAATCGCATGGACTTCCTAAGGGATAGCGTGGATTTCCTGAGGGATCCTATAGATGGCCTGCAACATATTATGGATTTGGTCCGGAATCCGATGGAGTTCCTTCGGCATCTTTAGGATATTCTAAGCATCCCAATTGAGTTCCGAAGGACTCCGGTGGATTTCCTAATGGATCAATTTTTTTCCCACATCTTAAGTGGGGTTCTTGTTTTCTCTGGGCACCCCGCGCAGTCCTCCCTCACCCCCTCACCCCTTCTCTCCCTCGTCATCACTCGCCCTCACCCACTCCTTCACTCATCATCATCTTCATCATCAACAACAACAACATAATCCTCATCAATCACGTATTCACTTACACTCACACTCACTTAACCACACACTCACACACCCACTTCTCGCCGTCACCATAATCATCACCACCCGCTCATTCATTCACTCATTCACCATGATCATTCACCCACTCATCATCATTTCGTCATCACTCATCCCCTGGCATGACAATGGAGGATGTCTCAGGCGGGAGCCTCGTCTGTGAGTGAATTGCGAGGAAGTCTCAGGCGGGAACCTCCTCCTTGTGGGGTCCGCACTTCATGTTCGAATCCAAGGTGGGTCATCGGAATCCTGTAACTGTCGTTATTTTTTGGTTCGTTATTTTTTGGTTCCTCAGGCCTGCATATGGAGGAAGTATCAGGCGGGAACGGCCCAAGGAACAGAAACGCTCGGCCGAGAGAGCCGAGAAGGCCGAACACCTGCTGCCGCGCATTACACCTACCTCAAGGTGTCCAAGCAGGGGGCGGGCATGGCCGTCGAGTGCCGCGACACCCTCAAGCAGCCGTCCGAGAACGCCAAGGTGGCCGCCACGAGGATCCTCCGAAAGCTCGGCGCCATCAGCCCTGGCGGGGAACGCCTTGCGAGCAGCAGCGAGACGTGTCAAGCGGATGGCTGGACCTGCGGGCTCTGGGCGACGAGGTGGGTCGAGCGCGTCGAGCGGGAGATCCGTGGCGAGGGCCGCCATGCGCCCGTCAGCGTCAGCCAGGCGCGCGCTCGAGGCAGCGAGTGGATCCAGAAGCTGCAGGGCGCGATCGGCAACCAGTCCGCGGCCGAGGCCGAAGCCGAAGCCGGGGGCAAAGGCAGGGCCCGGCCGCCGAAGGACTCGACCGCGCTTGAGCCCAAGCGCGGGACCTTCCTGGAGGCAAGCGTCGCAGCGCTAGCGCGCGCGAAATGCCTCTCGCGCATGGACGGTTCCATGGCGTGCCCAGCCTGCGCGGGCGAGGGGTTCGAGGTGGTTCGCAAGAGAGGCTTCTTGGCGAGGGACGCCAAGGACCTCGAGACCGTTGGCAAGTTTTGAGACTCCGTTCTCGAGGAGCGCAAAGAGCCATCATAGCGATAATCAGCATCTTCATCCTTCTCATCGTCAACATCTCCATCACTACGCTTCATTGCGATCCCTCGTAAACCTCCTAAGAGATCCAATGCGATTTGTTTTCGGAATCCGGCGCATGTCCAATGGATCCCGACGCATTGCCTAAGGCGTCCTACAGCTGTCAACAGGAACCCGATGGATCCCGAAGGGAATTCCGATGGATTCACTCACGAACCCCAGGGATTTTCATCAGGTGCTTTATGAGTTTCGTAAGGAATCCGATGGATGTCCTAAGGAAGCGCGTTGATGTCCGAAGGAATCCTCATGATCTCCTGAAGGGTCCTGTGGATTCCTGTGGGTTCCTGCAGGAGTCCTATGGAATTGCAAAGGAGTCGTACATATTGCCGGAGGAATCATATAGAATTGCAAAGGATTTCCATAGCTGTCTGAAAGGATTCCATGGATTTCTTTTGGATGGCATCACACAAGGATCAGATGGGATCCCTCAGGAATGCCATGCGAATTTTAATGGATCCTGTGGGATTTCGCAGGGGGGGCCATGGATATCACAAGCAATCCAATGGGCTTCCGAAGGGTACTTTTTATATTTTCAAATGAGTCCGACGCGTTTCATCAGCAGTATCATAGTCTTTTCCCAGATCCCGATTGACTTCCGAAGGGGTCCGATGCAGGTCCTAGAGAAACTCAATGGTTTCCTAAGGAAACCCATGGACTCCCCTCAGGTGTCCGATGGATGCCCATAGGATTCTTATAGATTGCCTGAAACATCCCTATGGATTTCGTTTGGAATTCCATGGGTTCCCCCCGGAATCGGGTGGAGTCGAACAACATATTATGGATGTGCGGAGGGAATCTGTAAATTGCCGACGGATCCTCATTGATTTTCGAAGAATCCCATGGAGACCACCAGGATTCCTATAGATTTCGGTAAGGTTCCGATGGGTGTCCAACAACGAATCCCGTGGATTTCCTTCGGGATCCTGTGGACCGTTTAAGGCGCCCTATGGATTTCGAAAGGTCATCCTACGGCTGCCCGGAAGAATCCAATGGAATTCGTTTGAGGTATGATGCATGTCCTAAAGATCCCGGTGGATGTCCGAAAGGATCCGATGGATGTCCAACGGGTCCGAAATACGTCCTAACGAATCAGATGGGCTTCTTAAACATCTTGTGTATGTCCGCAAGAATCCTATGGATTTCCAAAAGAATCCACCGGATGTCCCAGCTCCTGCTCAATCTCTTCCGCAAGAATCGCGAAGGTGTCGACGTGCGCCGTCCCATCTTAGTTAACCAGCGTGTTGCGCCAGTTCCTTCATCAAGACAACGCGCCTGGACATCGTTTCTGGATGGATCTGGCGGGGGCTCGCGGAGCGTCAATGATCCATCTCTGTTTATCGCCATCCACCTCACCGTTCTTTCTCACTGTGCCACATGCCCCATTCTCGCTGGGCGCGTTCTTCACCCACCCGTCATCATGCGCGCCCTCCTTCCGCCAGCACCCTTTCACGAATTACCCCCCCAACTCCCAGCGGCGGTCCTCCTCGCGCCCCTTGCCAGGCATTCCCCCCCCTGGCCCGACACCATCGTCAACGTCACCGCCGTCATTCCTGCACTGTTTCGTCCTCTTCGCAGGGCGTTCCCCCTTCGCCAGTGCCCCCCCCTTCCATCTCGCGGGCTGGCCCTTCATTGAGTTGATGAGGTGGGGGCAAGGCAGAGGCAGGATGGCGAGAAGGAGGGCGGCATCACGAGTGGGAGCGGCATGCTGATAATGAGGAAGGGAAGCATGATGGCGCGACGGAGTAGCAGTATTCCACGCCTCCTCTCCCACTCCAATTGCGGCCCCTCACTGCTCCACTTACTGGGATTCTTCTTTCCCCGTCGTTCTTGCCTCGGCCCTCATCTTCGCCCATCCTGCGCAATCTGTCTGCGCTTTTGCACCTGGTCTTGGTGTTCGTGCTCGCACGCGGGAGTCTTTTCCCCACTCCTAGCCGATCAGGCACCCGGTGTTGCTTTTCTCAGGCGATCGCAAACATGGATCAAGGGGGCGTGGATTAGAGACGGGTCCCGTTTCCATGAGAAATCGCGGATTTCCGCCGCCGAGCGAGGCGGCGCCGGCTGCATTTTGGGGAGGGCACCTCCTCCATGGAGTTGGCGACCGCGCACCGAATCCATGGATCTCTAATCCATGCTTGCACGCCCCCGATTCTCACGCCCGCCCCCCGCTCATTCACACACACACACACACACACACACACACACGCACGCGTGCACGTGTTCTTGCGCCGTGGCCTCGCGCGCAGCGTCGGGGTGTAGACGGTCCGACAGCGAGACGCGACTGACGACGCCCACACACAATCACACAAACACGCGCGCACGCACACACACACACTCTCTCTCTCTCTCTCTCTCTTTCACACACACACGCACAATAACACACACACATATACGCATGCGCGCACACCCACGCACGCACGCACGCACACGAACGCTCACGCACACACACACACACACACACACACACACACACACACACACACACACACACACACACACACACACACACACACACACACACACGCACACACAACACACACACACACGCACACACGCACACACGCACACACACACACGCACACGCACACTCCGCCGTCTTCACTCTCTCTCCCCCTCAGTATCCTTTCCCACCTGCTCATCGCGGCTGCCATTCCCAATCGGTCAACGTTCTTCCCGCCCATCGCCCATCATCTCCGACCTTAGTGCTCCGTCTCGGACTTCCCCATCTTGCTGCACCTCCTCGCTATGACACGTTCTGCTCACTCCTCGTCCCGTTCTCCACGCGCGCACTCACGCACAAACACACACACACATATTTATATATATATATATATATACATACACACACACACGCATACGCACACGCACACGCACAGGCACACACACACGCACAGACTCCTCCTTCTCCTCCTCATCCTCCATCGCCCCCCTCAACATCCTTCCCCACCTGCTCCTCGGCGCCGCCCGTTCCCCAGCCTGGGCTGTTCTTCTCGCCGATCGTTCACCATGCCCGTCCTTGGTGACCCTCCTCATTGTTCCTCGTCGTCGTTCACCCTGTTT